GAGCAGTTTGAAGAGCGTTAAAAACTTCCCAAATGCCTGTCAAACTCTATAGGGGTGTTTGGGAAGAGTTAAAATTAGTCAAGTGTGAATGAGCCCTAAGAACCACTTTTTTTTCTGTATTGTATGAAGTCTTATAAAAAACAGAGATTATTCCATATGTGATTAATTACCTAGTAGAAAAGGCACAAGCAGATCTGTTTTTTTACCATAGAAAATGTTTATTCCATCTGTGTCCCTACTCTCAATATGCATAGCACAAAGCATTCTTCCAATTCTTTGTGACAGATAAAACATTTCCTAGCAGTTTAAAGCTAGGCTGATGTATTTGATCCTGTAGTGTGTCAACCAAGAAATAATATGCAGGCACCAAAATATGAAGTAGTGCCTATCCTTTATGCTTTAATCACCTCACCTGCGCTATCCTAGTCCCTGTTACAAGAAAAGACCTCTTAAATGATAAACTATGTAGTTAGCATGGGCCTATACTCAAAATGAACTAAACTCACTGATTTAACTGTTTCCTAAAACCGTATCATTGAAGTCATGCCATGAATATTAGATGTTACATTTGTTTGTGCTCTCAACCAAACTGTCAAGCCATCAAATGGCTGGTGTCATAACTGATCACATGTGCAGCACTTTGCCAATTGCAGATCAGCCAGAGGCTAAGATGGCTGCTTTTTTTGGCTATAAAGTATAGGAAGGTTTTGTTTCGCTTTAGGCTATAGGATTGAACAATTTTTTTCTGATGGATAAATAAAGAAATAAACAATAATGTAAATGCAGAAATAATTAACTTTCCCAAAGCCAATACTGTTCCAGACTCCATGCTGTCATATAATGGAACCTCAACATGTGGCCAGGGCAAGGCCAATGCAAAGGCACTGTAGTGTACTCCTGCAGAATACACTGGAAAAATCATTAAAACTGGCAGCTGGGTCCTACCTTGTGTCATAGTATAGCTGAATGTAGGACGACTGTCAAACTGATGGCCAAGGCCCTACTTTGGAGGCATAAATCAGGACCGGCATTGTGTATTAGGAATGCTGACAGTGACCCCTGTATAGAAAAACCCAGCAAATGGCTGCTTATTTATTTACAAAAATGTATCATTTAACTACCTGTCAAAGAACTGAGATAAAAATGAAAAGGCCATGAAATTTAATGTATGTTTCCAAATGTGCAATGACCAAGTCATTACTCTGAAAACTTTACTTTCCTACCTGAGAGTAGACACCACAAGTTGCCTTGTTGGCCACTGGGGTGCTCTAATTGGTCAATTGAGTGGTGGTTGGCAGGGCATGATGTAATGATGTTATTGAAAGTCAGGTTCTGATAAGTAAAGTTAAATCAGACAAGGCACAAAAGTTCAAAGGTGCCCCGATGACGTTACCTGTGACGAAACGTGTAGGGTGGAGCCATACACACACGCTACTGCACATGCGCGAATGGCCGGTGGCCATTTTGGAAACCGGAAAATTCTAGATTTTTTTTTTCCAATCAATGCCTTATGGTGTTTGCTTACATGTGAGTGCAACCATATTTTAAATAAATGTTGTGATTATGGTTTTATACTATGTGGAGCGCTCTTTCTTTGCATGTTTTCCACTACGAGTCCAAGCCTTATCCTGAATGATTTAGCTACCCTAATTAAGGTCCATTGTTTGGAAGTTCCTTATCTGCTGTTTTGGTGATCTGGAGGAGGATTCGAGTGACCGGCTTTCTGGATTGTTTAACAAAGCGTGATTGACCATTCTTAACAGGGGGTCATGCCTTTCTGGTAAGCCTTCTGTAGTAGTGGTTGGTGACATGACAACTGTCCTTGGATTTCTTTTGTTTCATCACAACCTCTGGGACTTTCCTTTTCTTTTCTTTTTGGATGGACTATTTTTTTTACAATTTTTCACTGTTCTCTTATGATTATTTGTAACTTTTTAAGCGCTGCACTTTTATGTACTTTTTTCCAAATACTGTATGTTTATGACTTCACCACTACATCAAAGAAGGTTATAAAATAAAAAGTAAACTATTAACATGTGATTTATATATTACCAATAATGCTGACACTCCCTTATGTAGAATATCAGCATTGAAAGGTGTCACCATTATTGTGAATATTTAATCATGTTTATAGTTCACCAAGGTAGCTCTGCATTTTAATTTTTACATTTTTGCTTTGAGGTCTGGTTTAAGGTGCCTTGAGGACACATGTCAATGCTGGCTGCTAACTGTTCACTTAATTAATGTTCACTGCATTTATAGGGGTTGCATGGTAGTTGTTGTACATTTTTTTACTACTTCAAAGAATACCATACATGCTTGAAATTTTGACCACTTGCAAGGTTTAGTAAATAAACGTTATGCTGTTTCCAGATGCTTATCAGTCCTCCAACCATAGTCTCCAAAGTAGTGAATGTCTGCAACGGCAGATCAAATGGCCACCACAAGAACTCATAGGTAGGGGGCTTGGAGCTTGACTAGTTCCCTCACCTTATCTACTAGTTTAGACAGAAAACAGATAGATCACAAACAAACCATGTAAATTTGGTTGTTTCGCAGGCTGGCTGGCAAATGTGCTGGAAAATCTTTTGTTTGTGATGTGCCTTCCATGTGCACCTTACAGCAAAGGCTAGTTCTAGGTTGGGGTGGTTACCACTTTTTTGTACATTTGGTTGAATTGGGTACGGAGACGCACTGGATGCCTTCACTGCCATCGTACTCTTACCGATATCACGTGCATCCCTGTGCCTTTAAGGAGGGCTAGGTTCTCCCCAGGCACACTTGCCTTTAATCTTTCCACAACTATATATGTGCTCTTATTTAGGAGAAATGATAGAGTAAGGACTGCAGTATACAGAGGAACCTTGACATGGGCACTGCAGTTTATGCATATATTTGCAAATGTGTGCAAACAAAACCCTCTGCTTTTAACTTGAATTGTTAGATAGAGTCAGTTTGGTTGTTTTGTAGGCTGGCTGGTAAGCGTGCTGGGAAATCTTTTGTTTGTAATGTGCCTTCCATGTGCACCTTACAGCAAAGGCTAGTTCTAGGTTGGGGTGGTTACCACTTTTTTGTACATATGGTTGAATTGGGTACGGAGACGCACTGGATGCCTTCACTGCCATCGTACTCTTACTGGATATCACGTGCATCCCTGTGCCTTTAAGGAGGGCTAAGTTCTCCCCAGGCACACTTGCCTTTAATCTTTCCACTACTATATATGTGCTCCTATTTAGGAGAAATGATAGAGTAAGGACTGCAGTATACAGAGGAACCTTGACATAGGCACTGCAGTTTATGCATATATTTGCAAACGTGTGCAAACAAAACCCTCTGCTTTTAACTTGAATTGTTAGATAGAGTCAGTTTGGTTGTTTTGTAGGCTGGCTGGTAAGCGTGCTGGGAAATCTTTTGTTTGTGATGTGCATTGCCCTTTCATGTACACCTTACTGCAAAGCCTAGTTATAGGCTGGGGTAGTTGCCACTTTGTTGTACAGAAAACAAATAGAAGGTAATTGTATCAAGACTTTCCTTTTTGTTTTGGATAAAATTTTAAATATTTGGAACTTTTGTCGGTTTGTAGTGCTCTTTGCATCCCCATAAAGATATTTCCCCTGGCTTCCTGTCACAATGACAGGGGATCAGAGGCACAGAGACATATGAGAAATCTCCCTAATGGAGATGACAAGAGCAACAAAAAACACATTTGTATTGCAGTGGAGAAGAGAAACCTTGGTCAGGGTTCTATTTCTCTGTGTGCCATCTTGTCCTGGTGACCCCTGTTCTCTCATTTCTTGTCCTTGTGTCAAAGGGGTGTCACTGGGATTCACAATGAAGGGAAATCTTTTCACTGGAGACAGTAATATAAACCTGGTAGGGGTTCTAACTCCCCATGCTTTATTCAGAACACAACTTTGCAGCATGTCCAATCAAGGGGTTATACATTTATAGGGCTCAGCAACAAGCTGCAGAATTCTAATAGATTTCAACATTTTTTAAAATAGGGTTGTTCAAAGAACGACAATCATCACGTGAAAAATACCTAAACTCATACCAATTAATAAGAAGTCATTTTCAAACTGATCTGACTACTGTGAACTAACATGATTGGTTGCTATGGGGTGTAGAGGGTTACTGCACTGTGCACTAGTGGTGAAGCTAGACATTCTGTCACCCGAGGCCCAGTTTCCCACTTTTCCCATAGCAAGACAAGGTCATTCAGTGCCTAGGGCGAAGATGCCAACCAACCGGGGGAGGGGGATGTTTTTGGGAGAGTAGTGGGTGTGGGATGCAATGCACTACATGTAGCATTGTATCCCGCAGCATAATATGGGGTAACAGTGACATCGAAAGTAATGGGGTCTGTGTGAAGAATCATAAGTTGGGCCCTCCTGAGCAAGAACGAGAGAGTGGTGTGCGCAGTGCACCGCAGTAAAAATTGGGCGTGGCTTTTATTGTGTTCATATTGGCTGCGGTTAAAATAGAAGCAATGTGCAGGGGTTCAGCAGTAAGTGATGCAGGGTTCAGAGGTCAGTAGTACGTTGGGAAATGTTCAGACATGTCAGTGCCTTTCTAATACCATCATGGGCCCCCGGGCAAAGTAATACACTGGGGCACCTATAACGGAGATGGTGACCTGCGGTGCACATAGTGTGCCACGGAAACAGTTGGTGTGGCTAAATTATTATTATATCAGGTGTGACCCCATCAGAGCCCCTCTTTACATCAGGTGTCCCCATCGGAGTCCCACTTTACATCAGCTGTTCCCATTAGAGTCCCCTTTTATATCAGGTGTCCCCATCAGACTCCCTCTTTACATCAGGTGTCCCCATTAGAGTCCCCTTTTATATCAGATGTCCCCCTTTACATCAGGTGTCCCATCAGAGTCCCCCTTTACTTCAGGTGTCCCATTAGAGTCTTCCTTTACATCAGGTGTCCCCCCCTTTGCATACATCAGGTCCCCACATCACCTTGAATACAGTCTCACTTTACATCAAGTATCCCCATCAGGTGCCCCCTTTACATCAGGTATCCCCATCAGAGTCCGCCTTTACATCAGGTGTCCCCATCAGAGTCCCTTTTTTATATCAGGTGTCCCAATTTACATCAGGCGTTCCAATCAGAGTCCCCCTTTACATCAGGTGCCCCCATCAGAGCCCCCCTTTACATTAGGTGTCCTATCAGAGTCTCTCTTTACATCAGGTGTCCTCCTTTGCTTCAGAGTCTCACTTTACATCAGGTGTTCCCATCAGGTGCCCCCTTTACGTCAGGTATCTCCATCAGAGTTCCCCTTTACATCAGGTGTCCTATCAGAGTCCCCCTTTACATCAGACTCTTATGGGACACCTGATGTAAAAGGGGGCTCTGATGGGGACACCTGATGTAAAAGGGGGCTCTGATGGGGACACCTGATGTAAAGGGGGGCTCTGATGGGGACACCTGATGTAAAGGGGGGCTCTAATGGGACATCTGATGTAAAGGGGGACTCTGATGGGACACCTGATGTAAAGGGGGACTCTGATGGGACACCTGATGTAAAGGGGGACTCTGATATGTATCAGACAGGTATCAGAGCCTTTGCATCAGCGTCTCACTTTGCATCAGCTGTTCACATCAGTTATCCCCATCAGAGTTCCCCTTTTCATTAGGTGTTCCCATCAGAGTTCCCCTTTACATCAGGTGTCCTATCAGAGTCCCCCTTTACATCAGACTCTCATGGGACACCTGATGTAAAGGGGGCTCTGATGGGGACACCTGATGTAAAGGGGGACTCTGATGGGACACCTGATGTAAAGGGGGACTATGACGGGACACCTCTAGACTCTGATAGGTATAAGGACAGGTATCAGAGTCCCCCTTTACATCAGGTGTCCCATCAAAGTCCCCTTTTAGATCAGGTGTCCCATCAGAGTCCCCCTTTAGATCAGGTGCCCCCATTAGAGTCCTCTTTTATATCAGATGTCCCACTTTACATCAGGTGTTCCAATCAGAGTCCCCCTTTACATCAGGTGTCCCATCAGAGTCCCCCTTTACTTCAGGTGTCCCCATCAGAGGCTCCTTTTACATTAGGTGTCCCATTAGAGTCTCTCTTTACATCAGGTGTCCCCCTTTGCATCACAGTCTCACTTTACATCAGGTATCCCCATCAGAGTCCTCCTTTACATCAGGTGTCCCCATCAGAGTCCCCTTTTATATCAAGTGTCCCACTTTACATCAGGCGTTCCAATCAGAGTCCCCCTTTACATCAGGTATCCCCATCAGAGCCCCCCTTTGCATTAGGTGTTCCATCAGAGTCTCCCTTTACATCAGGTGTCCCCCTTTGCATCAGAGTTTCACTTTGCATCAGGCGTCCCCATCAGGTGCCCCCTTTACATCAGGTATCCCCATCAGAGTTCCCCTTTACATCAGATGTCCTATCAGAGTCCCCCTTTACATCAGACTCTGATGGGACACCTGCCTTCACTCCTTAGCGTCAACTGTGTATCACCACCTGCAGGCTGGAGGGAGGAGCAGGTGTCGGCAGCTGCTTCTTGTGACAGGAGTGAAATCTCAATCACTCTGTTCACTGAGTGGCACCAACAGTGTGCCCCCCATCAACACAGCTCTCAGGGCAGGTTGGTGCTACCGGCAGCAACCCCTCTCCGATCTTGCGCCTGGGACACACTTGCCCCACGTTATTTCCACTTGCCAAATGCGAGCAGGTGAGTGGAAATTTTGAACCCTGCATATACAAAAAGGGAAAAACAGGTATTTATAATGTTTTTTTTTATATGTATACACAAATGTTTTCCTTTTCATTTCTATTTTCAACTGTATGGGTTGTTCTACATGGTAAGGGTTCACATATACTATAACTGCTTTCTGTCTGCCCACATTACATCTACTGTGGATGGATGGCACAGCCAGGCTAGGTGACATACCCATCACCTAACCTTTCTTCTGGGTTGCAAGAATGCAATGTGATTGGACAAGTTTGTCAGCAGATTTCAGGAAATGTTTTTGTCAGTTAGTCAATTGCTCCCAACCTGTGTCTGTTAGGACCAGAATGACCTCCACACTATAAGTCGCTAATCACCGCCATTACAAGTATAGCCTCTGTAGCTGTGTAAATTTCAGTATATAATTTCTATACCATAGTTTGTAGACACTACAACTTTCACACAAACCAATTGATATACACTTATTGTTTTAAATTTATGATCAATATCATCAAAAGAAAGCTCTTTTGTGTGATAAAAAAAATATGCATACAGTGTTGCATGACTGCGCAATTTCCAGTTAAAGTGGTGCAGTGCCAAATAGCAAAAAAATGGCCTGGTCATGAAGGGGGTAAAACCTTCCGAAGCTTAAGTTGTTAAACTTTAAGGGTTGTTTTTACAAGGTGAGGGTTCAAAAATATTTTTAACCCCTTCCCGCCGGCGCCTCCCGGCCCTTTAAGAGTTTCAGATGCCGGGAGGCAGGGCAGGTGGGGCGTGGTTTAGGGATCATGTGACTGCAGTGCTGCGTCGTCATGGCGGTCACATGATCGGGAAAGGTCCCAATCGAAAGAGCACCTTTCTGTGAGTACTGGACATGTGTGCTGGGAGCGCACAGAGCGCGTGCTCTCAGCACATATGTTTTTTTCTTACCTGAATGCAAATGTGCGGCTGCTCAACGTCTAGGCCCAGACGCCAGGGGGGCCACACATTTGTGTGCGGCCGGCGTAAAGGGGTTAAACTAAAGTAGGACCATGACAACCCAGGAATTAGCATACTCAGAAGAAGTTGAAAATGTCAGGGTTCACATTTAACAATATAGAACAATACCAGTTGAGAAAAAGGCTCAACAAATTTATAGATAAGGAATCAATAAATAACATACCAGACAAAATAAAATATACTTTCTTCATTTTTAACATCCAACAGAAAAATCTTAATTTCAAAACAGATATACATGAATTTATATTCATATTGTATTTGAAATTCTATTTACTAAGTTATTCATTACTATCATTATATGTGATGAACACAATCTTAAGACATGTAACATATATTACAAACTATGTTCTGTGTGCATTTAGTATGAGTAGCTCTGAGTTTCAAATTATAATACTGTAATGTATCATATACTTACCTACTGAAGATACTTTAGTTATAATGCCAACAATTATGAAGAGGAAAACTTTCATTTCTACAAGTGTCTTCTGTCTTCTCTTCAGTATGTGAAATGCTGATTCTCTCCAAGCTCAGATGCAGGGAATAGCAACTGCTTTTATATATAAATGCTTCCTAATAGAGAAGTAGGTGGTACCAAAACTATCTGCTTGAACATCACATGGTCCACGTCCAGTTGTCTATAAAAGGGTTGTGACACTGTGGCTGGAGGGTTACTAGGCTAAACATTTACAAGGAGTGACTAGGTTATGATGTACTTTGGATATCTAAAAATGCTTTCATCTTTTTTTGCAGATTGACTTTAGCCATGAAAAACTGAAAAATATGTTATTGTCAATCAAGAATGTCATACATTTTGCATTGAGACTTTTTACTTTGAACATGAGAGGATGCCTTACCTTTCCCCCCAAGGTCATATTTTGGCTAAAACATGTCTGATACAGTATGTTCTCAGTTATTCTGGTCTGTTTTTCCGATTCTTGTTTTCTAGAACTTACACCCAGAAACCTCAACATCTGTGTGCTAGTATAACTTGCCAAAATGTATAGTCAGAGGAGTTCTATGGTCACACCATGTCATGGATTGGACATCTACTTCCACTAGGGACAGAGTGGCTGATGAGGACTTGGCTGGGCAGACAGTGGCATAATCCACGGAGTAAGCACAGAGAGTTTGGTATGCCACTCAATCGGTCATGGTAGGAGCCCTAAGAAGGACCATGGCACAGAGTCTAAGGAAAGTTACGCTTCAAACTATTTCCAGGTTGAGGCCCTCTGACTCACCTGAGCAGCCAGCTACTAAAAGGTGAAAGTCCCTTGCAGCTCTGAGGTGCTGGATTTGCAGGATTGTGGGTAACACAGTCTAAATTTATAGGAGTTAAAAAAGTGATTGCAGCGCTCAGTAATTAAATATGTGAATAATCCACCACATAATCCACCATGTGAATATAATTCACCACATCAACTTGTGCACAACAATAGTGGGTCCATAAAGAAAATGTGTAAAAAATACAAATAAAATATAATGTTATTCCACTGTGGTCCTCCAATCTAAAGTGCGAACACCTCATATGGAACATCAAATGAACTAGGTGATCAGTTCCAGTGTCTTTTTCATATAACTTCACCGTGCAATCAGAAATCATCCGTCGTGTCTTGCCTCCACCAATAGAAAGATTGCACACTCACCACAAGGTTTTGCTGTCTAAGGATAAAATAGCAGTATGAGCTTGTTACATAGTATCCCTCATAATCTCTCTCTCTCTCTCTTTTTAAAGTTTTAATCCTCTGTTCCTCCAGGGGTCAATACTAGCATTCCCATCCTCCTCCTCACTGGGCACACACTCTCCCTCTCTCCCAGTGAGGAGGACCCTGGCTGCTCTGTGCAACACCATTGCACAAGGTGGGTAAGTATAACTTGTTTGTTATTTTAGTTAAAAAAAAACCCAGAGGTTTAATGTCGCTTTAACATACTGTAAAGCTTGAAAATCACTACTGGTATCTGTAAGATGGCACAGAAGACCATTTATGAGTGTATCTGTATGAGGGAAGACAGCAACATGTACCAGTCCTTCTTACCTCCCTTTGAATCAAGTTCTTCAGAGAAGGCAGCAACATGCACCAGTCTTTCTTACCTCCCTTTGAATCAAGTTCTTCAGAGGGGAAGGCAGCAACATGCATCAGTCCTTCTTATCTCTCTTTGAATCAAGTTGTTGGTTTAGAAGATGAATTATCTTCCTTTGACAAATAAGTACTAGTTCAAATGTAGAATTGGTGTGAATTGTGATGAAGTTGTCATTAAAGAAGTCACTGACTGGCACTGCCTAAGTGATATGATCAGTTGGTTTTGTTGGTTATGTGTTAGAGAATACACTGGTAGCTTGTGATGAGGCAGAACTCTTTACTTGTGTGGCTTAAGTTGCAAACATACAGAACACATTTCAGCAGACATCTTAGTTTGTTGAAGAGAGAGAAGAAGGAAAGGAAGAGAGAGAACCAACAAGTTTTCAGATATGCACAACTAGTAACCTTAGTGTACAGTGCCATCTACTGGTCAAGTGATATTAACACACAATACTATATAGTACATGCTGTTGTATCTCCAACAGGTTTGAGGTCTGTAAGCCTAGTGTAGGACTAGACATGGTGCAAACCTGCTGCATAGAACTGTTTGGTTGTATCTCAACACTATCTTGCTGTCTGTGCAAAAGTGATGTAAGAAATGGCATTGTCCAATAAAATGTATATATTTGTAAACAATATATGTATATTTTATAATGAATATATATATAAAGGGACTTTTAAGAGATAGGCCTAGTTTGTACAACATATTTACAAGTCCATCAATACTGTCTCTCAGAAAACAAAGCTTGTTGCTGTTGTGCTTTTGTTAGGCTAAAGTTAGATGTTATGCATTGTAATTGAGTTGGCCAGGTGGAGGCCAGCTAGTAGACATGGCTTTATTATGCTAAGTTGAGCACTGTTTACCCAATTTCCAGGTGTGATGGTAGATAGACAAGACTTAACAAACTTTTTCTTGTAGCAGATGTCACATCACCAAATTGTACAGTAAAGAGAGAGATCTTAATATTGGACAGTCATCACATTATAACTGGTCTTGAATTCCATCCAATTGCTTTGCTTTCATGGGAAAGATAATATTGTGCAGTTTGGACCAGAGATTCCTCAATAATAGCAAATTGAAGGAACTAGTATAATACGTGATAGCTTAGAGAGGACTTGACTAGAGGTGTAGAGGAGCCTCAAAGAGGGAGCCTGCAAGAGACTTCAGCCATTGTCCCATTCCCTGGGATCAGTAATATTTGATAAACAGTACTTTTGAGTAATTATTCAGTTTGTGAGTATTTTAACTTATTGTCTTGGGTTTATAGTTGTTTGCCTTCTACGGTGCAGAGGTTTCATTATTTGCTAGTATCGGATGCCACTGTAAATCTTTCTGTGTTTATTCCTCTAGAGTATTGTTTTAAAAACAATATTTCCTTGTCTTTTACCAGGCTGTTCATGTTAATTCTTTATGCAATATAATCTTTTTCACCTGTTTCATAGTATGTTTAGTTCTAGCAATTACATTGCTCAGGACATAAAGTAAAGACACATTAAATAGAGAGACGGACTAGTTATACAGAGCATCTCCACCCATAGGTACCATTATTGAGCAGTAGATACAATCATTTTTAGCAGGGGTTCTCCAAAACCTAAAATTATTTCAAGGATTCCTCAGGGTTATAAGGCTGAAAAAAGCTGTTCCAGATGGTTTGAATATCTATCTCTTTAAATTAATACCTTTTATTTAATAATGGGTTGAATGAGAAAAAGCAACTCTATTTCCCCCTTCCATGGTAAACAGCATGAACGGACAAATCTCCACTGCCAGCTATTTACTATATTCTAACAGCTGGCACCCACGTTTCAAAATTCAGGAATGGCCACCTTTACTCCATAGTTGTGCTCAGACCAACACCTGTCACCTGAGCAATGAGTTTAGTCCTAGCTTTATACCTAATATCCTAACTTCCAAAGATTCAGTGTCCCCAGTCATTTAGTGTCTTTTTGTGACTCCATGAGGCCCTGGGCACTTCTGTGATACTAGTGTCACTATGCCAAGTGGAGCCCCCTGTGTTGTCAGGGTTCCCCAGGGGCTGTAGTCTGAGAACCCCTCTGTGCCTATAATGTCTGCCTGTACATTCTCTATCCCCTGCTTTCAGTGACTGTGACCCATGTGTTCTCCAGTGTTCCCTGCACACTCCACTCCCTGCCACTGGGATTCAAGAGAAGGTGTGAGCACTAAAATGGTTTCAGGTGCAGAGTCTAAGAAGCCACGTGGAATCAACGCATCCTGCAGGGAGAGATGGACTTTTAACAGCAACCAGGTAGTGGCCCTCAAAGCTGCCAGATGGCAGATGAACAGTATAAAAGACCACAGCGAAATAGTGCCACTGATAATATTTTCTTGGTGGGGGGGTTGTTCACTGGCCACCTTGACCTTCAGCCTTTCTTCATTCCAGAACTGGTCTGTCCACTTTGTACTTTGACCCAGGGGCATAGATGAGAGAGTTTGTGGTTCCAGACACCTTCCAGAGTGTCCATCCACTGCGCAGGTGCAGCAGCTGGAGAGGCTCAGCTTAAGCATCTCTTCGTGTCTATGCTGCAGTTACTTCCCCTTCTTTAACCAAGGGATTGACAGGTATTTGGGAGCGAGGAGAATGAACACCTCTATTGGCATATGGGTGAGCCCTGCCCAGTGGAACTAAGTCTCAACACCCAGAATCCAGAGACTAGAGGGACACACGGAGGAAATGAGGAGATAGGACAGGCAGACCTCTCAGGGAGCCTCTATATTGCATCCCTACATTCTCCTCTAGGTGCCCATGACTGATCTCTCCCCCCTCCCTCCCCACTAAGGAAACCATTTTCAATGGCTGTATTTCGCTGTGGTTCTTTTACTGTTCATTTGCCATCTTGTGTGGGTTTAGATAATACAATAGAAAGATTAGAATTCATTAGAATTTGTAATACTAGCTCAAAAAACAAAAGAACTTTAACCAGCTGACAACTACACACAGTACATACTGCGAACGAGTGGCAAGCACAATCACATACCTGTATATTGACTGCTTCTCTTGAGTTCAGCACAGTGCATGAATGTGCCCCTTTCTGGGCTGTGCTGTGATTGGGTACAGCACGAGTTTGGTAGCTGATTTCAGCTACCATGTTAACCCCTTCCCAGCCAGTGTCAATGATTGCTGTGTACAGGGAACAGCGACCTGGCTGTTTCTTCTCTCTGCAAAGCAGCAAGAAGGACAGCCAGATAGTAAAGTAAAAGCAGCACACATTACACACTGTTAGGCACACAGTTAACCCTTTGATTCGCCCTAGATGTTAACCCCTTCCCAGCCAGTGTCATTACTACAGTGTCAGTGTACAGCATTATCACCGATCACTGTACTGTATTAGCGTCACTAGCGATGATTGTTGTAGTCTGTAGACACTATAACTTTCACACTTATTTGCTTTTTTTCACCAAAAACATGTAGCAGAATACATTTTAACATCAGTTTATGAAGAAATTTGATTTTATTGGATATGTTCTATAACAGAAAGTAAAAATTACAGGTTTTTTTCCCCAATACCACCATACCATCATAGCCACTTTGGGGCCTGGCCACTTTTGGGGCCAGGGTCAGAAGACGCTGCAGGAAGAGAGAGTGCATGGAGCCTGGATTTGAAATACTGCCAGTTTCTACTAATTACTTAATGCTTGTAACAGTAGGAAATAGTGGGGAGCCTGGGAAGGAGTGATGCATACACAATGCCTTTTACTGATTCTGAGGTAGGTTTAAAATCATTCTCACTGCCACCAATGAAGCTGAGAAAATGGCAGTTATATTTACACTTTGTAATTATAATGACTCTTTCCCCAGCTTCATTGGTGGTAGTGTTAAAAATTATTCTCCTGCCAAACTCCAGCCAAAAACAAATTTTGGACATTTGTATTGTTACATAGTTACATAGTTAGTCTGGCTGAAAAAAGACAAAAGTCCATCTAGTTCAACCGTTTAAAAAAAAAAAAGTTATAATGCTATACCCACAGTTGATCCAGAGGAAGGCAAAAACCCAGCAAAACATGATCCAATTTGTTCCTTCAGGGGAAAAAAATCCTTTCTGATCCCCCAAGAGGCAATCAGATATTCCCCGGATCAACACAGTCAGTGACTCAATGAATAAGACATCTTGTAGATCTTGTGAAGTTTATTCCATAAACTGAGAGAACCTTACAACAATGAACATTCGATAGGTCAAAAGATCGTAATGTTTCTGCTTCATGCCATGAGGCTAGAGCTGCAATGCATTTCTGGGAAAGGGGGGAGCTATCTATACAGCATTAACTAAACCAAAGGAAAGGGAGGAGCAGAAACAAAATATAGAAAACACTTAAAGGCATATGACAGTCAATATGACAGTCATGTGGAACATGACACTCCCCGTCGAAATCTATGATTTCTATTATAATAAACTTTATGTCAGGAATGGACTGGCCAGCAATGGTGGGACTCACCTGCCTTATGAGCTGCAGTACCAGGGCTGGCCAGCGGGTGCTCCCAGCAATCAGAGACTCAACCTTGCAGCCAGTCAAACACCTGGAACTGATTATACTGGTGTATTTAAGGGATGGCCAGACCTGCAGACTCGGCCTTGGTGTGTGTTTCTCCTGGGCCCTGTATCCTGTTCCTGCTCCCTGTTCCTGTTCCTGTCTGATTCATTGCTGACCCTGCTCTGATCCCTGGCTTTGTCTGACCATTCTCCTGCTCCTGATCCCTGGCTTGTCTGACCATTCTCCTCTGCCTGATCCTCTGTACCACGCTGCCCGCTACCTGCTGAACCTGGCTTGTGACCCCGACCATTCTCCGCTTGCTCCCCCTGTACCTACCTGCCCGATTGATATTGACCCGGCCTGCCTGACGACGCTTGCATTGTATGTACTGTCATCTGTGGGTGGTTGGTTTGGTTTGTTTGCACTGTGTTATGTTTTAGTATTGCACTGCGTTTATGTTTGTATTGTTAGTGTTAATAAATTATATTGTTTATAACATATCTGAAGTCTGCGTTTCCCTGCGTCAGTCACACACCTCTGGTCACACCCGGGAGCCCTGACATTACACCAAGGCCAATCCTGACCATAAGTGGCTGCACAGGGAAGCCATCTTGGTTTGTTGATGGGAAGGATGGATCTTGATGAGGTTGTGTATTTATATCTGCTAGTGTTTGATGACAGAGAGTATGCTTATCAAACTCTGAAGGAGTATCCCCGGGATGAACTGCTAGAATGTATACGGCTCGCTCATGTTCTAGTAGATCAGGGCACAGAATTCTCTGAGGTGCAGCCATTGATTCAGATTTGTGCGGAGTTGGTTTAATCTGGTACCCCCGAATGCAGGGATGAATTTTTGCCGCCATTTAGTGCCGACGAGGTAGAGTCCCTGGTATGGTTATTAGAGGATGATGTGGATTGCTTCTTGGAGCATTATGCTGCATGTTCACCACAGACACTAAGAGATTGTATAAACGCAGTGCAGTCATTGACCAGACAGGCTTTGTGTAAGCTGAGCTTTGTTCAACCCATACTGCAGACATGGACAGATTTGTTGCACCCAGCCTCAGTCAGCCTACAAAAACCCAGTCCTGCTTCTAATCTATTTCCTCAAAGCTCTATTCCTGCATTCCCAACAGCTCCTCCTGCCCTGCTATCTACCGCATGTCAGTACCCTGTTCCCACTCGCTGCACCTATCCTGCCTTTAACCCTGTAAAAAAGCCCTCTGTAGCAACTGCTCCCTCCTCTGTTCCATCCTCCAGCTCTTCTCTGTCTCCAGCTGCTCCATTCGTTTGCAGACCTGCGTTTACTTGCAGTGCTCCAGTAGTTAAAACCAGAAAAAAGCGAAAATTCTTTCCAACCAGTACCATCCTGCCAGTATCCAAACCGGTGAGCCTGCCGTCTGAGAACCTGCCTTCCGTGGTTCAGCCTGGTGCCTCTGCACCCGCACTTCAGCCTGAGGTCTGTACCCAGCCTGATGCCTGTCTTCAGCCTGATGCCTCTCTTCAGCCTGATGCCTCTCTTCAGCCTGATGCCTCTCTTCAGCCTGATGCCTCTACTCAGCCTGATGCCTCTACTTCAGCCTGATGCCTCTACTCAGCCTGATGCCTCTACTCAGCCTGATGCCTTTACTCAGCCTGATGCCTCCACTCAGCCTGATGCCTCCACTCAGCCTGATGCCTCTACCCAGCATGATGAACTGATCCAGCCTGATGATCCTATTAGGCCAGTTGACTCGATGCCCGCTGTTGATCCAGATGATCCGGTACCTGATCCGGTGCCCGCTGTCGTGCCAATTGACTCAGAGCCCGCTGTCGTACCTGGTGACTCGGTGCCCATTGCCTTGCCAGATGACGCGGTACCCGCTGGCGAGCCAAATGACCTGATGCCTGGTGACCCAGTGCCCGCTGTCATATTAGTTGACTCGGAGCCCACTGCCTTGCCAGATGACGCGGTGCCCGCTGTCGAGCCAAATGACCTGATGCCTGGTGACCCGATGCCCGCTGTCTAGCCAGACGATCCAATGTCTGACCCAGTGCCAGCGGTCATGCCAGTTGACTCGGAGCCCACTGTCGTGCCTGGTGACTCGGTGCCCGCCGCTCCGCCTGGGGGCCCAGACCTGTGCTCCGCCTGGGGGTCCGGTGCCCGCCGCTCTGCCTGTCCGGCGCCCGCCGCTGCCTGGGGGCCTGAGACTCCGGGGGGCCTGAGACCTGTCGCTCCGCCTGGGGGCCTGAGACCTGTCGCTCCGCCTGGGGGCCCGAGACCTGTCGCTCCGCCTGGGGGCCTGAGACCTGTCGCTCCGCCTGGGGGCCCGAGACCTGTCGCTCCGCCTGGGGGCCCGAGACCTGTCGCTCCGCCTGGGGGTCCGGCGCCCGCCGCTCCGCCTGGGGGCCCGAGACCTGTTGCTCCGCCTGGGGGTCCGGCGCCCGCCGCTCCGCCTGGGGGCCCGATGCCTGTCGCCTCGCCTGGGGGCCGCCTCTCGCCTGGGGGCCCGGCCTGTCGCCCCTGGCGCCTGCCGCTCTGCCTGGGGGCCCGATGCCTGTCGCCCCGCCTGGGGGCCCAATGCCTGTCGCCCCGCCTGGGGGCCCAGTGCCTGTCGCCCCGCCCGGGGGCCTGGTGCCTGTCGCCCCGCCCGGGGGCCCGGTGCCTCGCTCCGCCTGGTGGCCCGGTGCCTGCTGCTGCTCCGCCTGGTGGCCCGGTGCCTGCTGCTCCGCCTGGTGGCCCGCTGCCTGCTGCTTCGCCTGGTAATCCGATGTGCCTCTGCCCGGAGTCCAGCCCGATGTGCCTCTGCCCAGTCCAGCCCGATGTGCCTCTGCCCGGAGTCCAGCCCGATGTGCCTCTGCCCGGAGTCCCTCTGCCCGTTGTGCCTCTGCCCGGTGGGCCCCTGCCCGGTGTGCCGCTGCCCGGAGTCCAGCCAGATGTGCCTCTGCCCGGTATGCCTCTGCCCGATGTGCCTCTGCCCGGTGTGCCGCTGCCCGGAGTCCTGCCCGGTGTGCCGCTGCCCGGAGTCCTGCCCAGTGTGCCAGTCTTTGATATCCCGCCAGTTACCAGACCCGGGCGGTGGAACATTTTGCCCAGCTAGGACTGTTTGGAGCGTCCTGAGGCCGCTCCTTGAGGGGGGGGGGTACTGTCAGGAATGGACTGGCCAGCAATGGTGGGACTTACCTGCCTTATGAGCTGCAGTACCAGGGCTGGCCAGCGGGTGCTCCCAGCAATCAGAGACTCAACCTTGCAGCCAGTCAAACACCTGGAACTGATTATACTGGTGTATTTAAGGGATGGCCAGACCTGCAGACCCGGCCTTGGTGTGTGTTTCTTCTGGGCCCTGTATCCTGTTCCTGCTCCCTGTTCCTGTCTGATTCATTGCTGATCCTGCTCTGATCCCTGGCTTTGTCTGACCATTCTCCTGCTCCTGATCCCTGGCTTGTCTGACCATTCTCGTCTGCCTGACCCTCTGTACCACGCTGCCCGCTACCTGCTGAACCTGGCTTGTGACCCCGACCATTCTCCGCTTGCTCCCCCTGTACCTACCTGCCCGATTGATATTGACCCGGCCTGCCTGACGACGCTTGCATTGTATGTACTGTCATCTGTGGGTGGTTGGTTTGGTTTGTTTGCACTGTGTTATGTTTTAGTATTGCACTGCGTTTATGTTTGTATTGTTAGTGTTAATAAATTATATTGTTTATAACATATCTGAAGTCTGCGTTTCCCTGCGTCAGTCACACACCTCTGGTCATACCCGGGAGCCCTGACACTTTAGTTCAAGTCCAATATAAATAATGAAGATTCTTTCCAGGAACATCTGCAAAACAAGAGGGAAGGGAAGAACAAAGGAAAACAATGCAAACATTTAGCATAATACTTGCAGATGTTGGTCTCGAAAGTTCAGGCTGAGACATGGAAATCCATATTCAGAGGGGAAGGCAGCAACATGCACTATTCCTTCTTACCTCCCTTTAAATCAAGTTGATGACTTGTCTTCCTCTTTGGGCAAAAGAAATACTAGTTCTTTTATAGGCCTGAAGTAAAGGTGTGCAGAATCTTCTTTCATGGTGGATATAGCCAAGATATGTCCTGAAATGCAGAAGTAGGTACTTCACGACTGCCACGGTCAGCAGGGTTGAGGCTTGTGGGAACATAGTGTCATTGTTCAGGCGTAGAGAAGACATGAATTTCTCTTCTGGTGGCATTCTTTAAGGATGCTTGGGTGTAAGAGCGTGGTATCTGGAGTTCTAATGCTTTTAGAGACTGTTTCCAGGATTCCCACCTTTGTTGTTTCTCCTTGGGTAAGGGGGTATCCCATTCTGAGTTTTCAGAAGTAAGTTGTCTCAGCAGTATCTTACCCTGAATGGTGAGATGTGTAATGAAACCTAAGGGATCATAAATGCTGTTTACTGTAGACAATACTCCTCGCTTTGTGAAGAGCTTGTCACAGGCTGATGCTTGTAGTGTGAAAGTGTCTTATTTAACATTCCAAAGCAATCAAAGACTGCGTTGTGTAACAGAAAGGTCAGGTCCTAGTTGGAATTTCTTCACACTGACAGCATGGTTATCAGAAGGAAAGGCTTTCATGACCTTGTTGCTGTTAGAGATGACGTTGTGAAGTCTGAGGTTTGCAGTGGCAAGCATGTTCTGGGTTCTAGTAAGAAGGTTAATAGTTTCTTCTTCATTGGGCAGAGATTTGAGTCCATCATCTACATAGAAATTCCTTTCGACGAACAGTTCGACGAACTGTTGCATCAGATCAAAAGTCTTTCTCACCCTCTTGACCTGTTTTCCTCAGTCCATATATTGCTACTGCAGGAGAAGGACTGTTACCGAAAACATGTACCTTCATTTGGTAGTCTATAACTTCATCGTTGACATCATTATTGTGGTACCATCTGAACCTGAGGAAGTTTCTGTAATCTTCACGGACGATGAAACAGTGGAACATCTGCTGAATGTCAGCCATAAGAGCAATTGGCTCTTGTCTGAAGCGAAGTAAAACTCCTATGAGATTGTTGTTCAGATAAGGCCCAGTGAGAAGATTGTCATTGAGGGAGACACCTTCATGACAAGCACTTGAGTCAAAGACCACCCTAATCTGCTCAGGCTTGCGAGGATGGTAGCCACCAAAGCATGGCAGATACCAACATTCTTCTCCTTCCATAAGAGGAGGTGCAGGCTCAGCATGATCGCTCTCAAACACCTTCTGCATAAAGTCCACAAAGTGCTTTTTCATCTCAGGCATCTGGTTCAAACTGCGATTTAAAGAAACAAACCAAGATTCTGCATGTACCCTGTTGTTTGGTAGTCTCTTTCTTTGGGTATGAAATGGTAGAGGTGCTACCCAACTGTTGGAATCATCTTGGTAGAACTCTTTACTCAAGAATTCTTTGTCTTCTATGGTAGCTGCCAACTCATTGTCTTTAGTGGTTACCTCAAACACTGTGATGCCGATGTTGACATCCCAGAGATTAAGTGTTTTCTTATTGTCTTGTATGAAGTGCTGTTGTGCACCTTTTTCAAACATTCTTTCTTCCACAATATATTTATGTGGTTGTTGTGCAGAACAAGTTGCTCGTCCATTTGACAGGATATGTGTTTGAAAGGAAGAGACTGAGTAGGACCTCCTGTCCTTGTCTAGGCAAACATTGCCTATGATGACCCATCCTAGATCCAGATGCTGAGCATAAGGTGCATTGTGTGGACCGTTGATTTGAAGACAAACTTTGTGCACCCTTAGGATGTCTCGACCAAGTAACAGCAGGATATCGGCACTTTCATCGAGGGCTGGTATTTGGTTCGCTATGTGCTTTAAGTGAGAATGGTGAAAAGCAGCTTCAGGATTAGGGATCTCCTCTTTGATGCTTGGAATCTGGTTGCACTCAGTGATAGTGGGCAAAGATATTTCCACATTGTCATTCAGAGGACCACCTACAAGACCACTGGCTATCCTACCTAAGACTTCTGTAGTGCCGGAACAAGTGCTCAGATAAGGCAGAGCATCTCCAGTTAGTTATGTTCAACAGTTCAAAAAACTACGTTCTTGCAGGAGATCTGTTACTCTGACCATCCAGAATAGTATACAGTCTTATGGCCTTTTCAGGTTGACCTTTGGGGTATACATGGACCAAGCATATCTTTACACAAGATTTGTCGCAGAATCCTTCTCTACAGACTTCTGTACATGTAGAGAACACTGGGGTGGTAGGTGCTGCTTGATTTGGGCGCTCCCCGCCTTGCTTTGCCTCAGGAAGATTGTTTGTGAAGGTAGTAGAGTTGTGTGAATATTGTTGAAGAGCTTGCACATGGTCATCATTGTCACACTCTATACATTTGATGATCGCTTTACAGTCCTTTGCAAAGTGTTCTGTGGTGGCACAGCATTTGTTGCAAACCCCAAATTTCTTCAAAAGTTCCTTACGTTCTTGGAGAGTTTTCTTTCTGAAGTCGATACATTTCTTAAGTGGATGTGGTTTGTTATGTATTAGACACTGGCGATTTGGGTCCTCAATTCTCTTATTTTGATCAGTCTTTTCAAGAACTGTTGCAGGTGCAGGTAGAACATTAGTCCTTTTCATTAACGCTGGACCTCTACGGTCTGTGTGCGACATACGTGTGTTCGTAGGTCTTGGAGACAGTGTACTGAGAGGGTTACAGTCCCCATATGAGAAACTTGGGTCATTCTTAGTGTCTGCAATTCTTTTGATGAGCTCGAGAAGTAGGAAAAAGGAGGAAAGGCAACTCTATGTTCTTCCTTATACTTTGATCCAAGCGCTGCCCATCTTTCTTTAATTCCATATGGTAGCTTGAGAACAATTGATTTGATTCCATGAGAGGTGTCAGCCTTAGTAAGCTGAAGCTCTAATAGAACATCGCTGAGTTCTTGAAACTTTAGATTGTCGCTAGCAGAAATCCTTGGGAAGCTTTGCAACCTTTTGAATAAAGCATTTTCAATGGCCTCTGGGCTGCCAAAGGTATGTTCAAGTCTGCTCCAAGCAGCATTAAGGCCTGCAACAGGGTTGTCAATATGAACTGCTTTGAGCCTCTTGATGCGTTCAGTAGACTGGGGACCTAGCCATCTGATAAGCAGATCCAATTCCTCTGTGGCATTGATGTCTAGGTCACTCATTGTGGCCTTAAAAGTGGATTTCCAGCCTCTGTAATTTTCAGGCTTGTCATCAAAGACCTGTCTTAACAAGTTCTCTCCGAAGCATGTATTTAGCAAACTGTGACATGTCCGTGTTTTCAGATTTTGGGTGCATGACTGCAGGTGGAACAGAGTTGGTTGTGACGGTTGGTGGATATTCATGGAGTGACTTGGGAACATATGTTGCTGCTAAGGCATTCAATGCCGCAGCTGGCTTAAAGTCCATTGGCATGTTGGTTTGTAGAGTAGTGCGTTTGCTAGGAGGTACTCTGTTGGTGCCAAAGTAAGGTGGACGGTCTGTTAAATACATACCAGTG